AAGAGTGGAGCGACAGATTCTCAATTACGAGCTCAAGGTATGCAAAGGGGTGGCTGTATAATGTGGTCTGTACAGGGAGGAGCTCGGAAGGTAACTAAATAGTTACTGAAGCTAGCTTGCGCTATGCAATGGGAGAACGAATTTTCTGAGGATCAGAGCCATCCCAGCAGCGATATTGACCTCGTTTTTAATGTGCTGAAACCAGCCGGGAGTTTGTTCGACGCACATGGACTTTGTTTCCGTTAAATAGCGCGATCTGAGGTCCATGACAAGTGCGAAGAGTGTGCCGAGCGGTCGCCGCGCAAAATCATCTGCTGATTGGGCGTTACATTAGGCCTCATTATGTATGGCCACTTTAACCATCATCCTTCCCTGGTAAGTCAGAAGTTACCCAACCAAGTCGTTGCTGAGGCGTACGTGATTTCTAGGAGAACATCACAATCTTGTTTTAGACAATGGAGGCCTTGGAGAACGTACGTACTACCGTCCAATTCGCTTGCTCTCGCTCATCATTACGACTTTGACTGTATCCGTGATATTGCACAACTCTCAAACCAGTGGCGACATTGGCTATGGCACTAGAGACGTCATACGCGCAGCTCGTCTCCTGCTCGAAAAAGCATGAGAGAAACGAATAGCGGTTCAAATGGCCTTCCTAGTTTCAACGTCTTTTGAATGCGTTACAAGCGAGGTTAAATGGTATGCTGCAACAGCATGGCGTCCACGAGCAGGCCGCTTACAGTGCGCTTTCTGCAAAAGTCTAGCGTCTTGAGTGCAAGCGGTGACAGGCACGTCGACGGGTTCCCAACTCCGTGGGAATATGTATCTGCGTTTTTTTTTCTTCAATTCTTTTCCATTATTTATTAATGCCCTTGGTGTCATATCATCGGGAGCCGGCTTCGGGGAAAGCTCTCTACGCTGGTGACGTTGTATCACCTGCAAAGAAGAAACCTACTCGAACAATAAATCAAGCAATATCCAATCGCATTGGGATGCTCTGATTGGACGTCAAAACGAGTGTACACTACCGAGTGGAATGAATTTTGGCATTTTTAAAATCACGGCGCAAAGTTCACATGTACAATATCCAAATTTTTGGAACAACAATTTGGGCTTCCGAAGCCGACTCACCTTTGAGTGCAGCTGGTCCGAGAGGGTCGTTCTCTTCTTTTTGAAAAGATGCCAAAGCGGGTCATATCGGATATATACTGCACCATTCCATCTGTCGTCATTTATGGTGCAGAGTGCATACCCGCGACTGAATTCTGTCGAAGGCGAAGGCTATGTTGTAATGAAGATGAAAATGCTGGTCGAACTCACTGGTAATGAAAACATGAGAAAAAGCTCCACTGCGGCTCCCACTAATGAAGATGGGCGAAACTCGCCTTCGATGGTTCGTTCACGCCCTTCGCACAAATGATGACAGGGCCATCTCACTCGACCATGGCTTTCCCGGAATGCTCCCTGAAGGACGGCGGAAAATGCATGGCTCTATGCATAACACTGCAAAAATTTAGTTGAGAACGCTGAATGATAGGAAGAAGGACTTCGAAGGCAACCTTGCAATACCCCCTTGAATTCGTTTGAGGGGTGTCGGTTAGGGATCTCTCATGGGCAGGATATTCAAAGCAGTTGTGACTCATGCTTTTGCGCTTTCACTTTTTTGACGCTCTTCAGCTAAAATCTGCGAATTCAAGGCGTATTACCCATATTAAATCATGTTTTGTTTCACACTGCCAATCTAGACGCCCATACTTGATCGAATGCGTTGGACTGCTGTTTCAATTAGTGAAGCACATGAGAGATCTCGAAAAAATATAATTGCATTCAAACACGCACGGAATGGGTTACTTCGAGGCGCTAAAAAGGACGAAATTTAAGAACTAGTTTCTTTAAATGCAATTCCCAAAACGAGACTAACGGCCGTTGATCTTTGTAATCAACAGCGTGAATCGCAGGCATGATTGTGCAAATAGAATTGAATTTTCTTTCTTAGTAACAGGTAACAATTTCCTTTAACCCTTTCGGCCCTGGCGGTGGCAATTGCCACCATCACATTTCGATGTCTGTATTACCGCTGCAACAGCATTTTTTTCTGATCCTGCTAGAGGTTGCTTCAATCAACCTTCCCATTTTTAAGAATGCGATAAACCCGGCATTTTATTTTGTGTTGCTTTTGATATTAATAGTGTTTGTGTGCAAGTGCAACAATGAGTCGACGCTGTTCCATGCAACCTGCCAAGTGAGTGCCACTTTTTCCCAAAATACTTGCAGTAAATCCATTCTATTATAAAAATTATGGGTCATAATGTTGTGCAAGATTATAAACTTCTTCGTCATACCTATGCAATTTGGAACTGTTTCGACATAGGCCTAAAAACTAAGAAGGTGGACCAATTTTCAAAGCTTCCTAGTTTGATAGTTTGTGGTCGAATAGCTTCCCAATTCCGCTATAATGACATTTATGAGCTCACAAGTAATAAACAATAGCTAGAAGGAAATTTTCTCCACGGAAAAAATTCAGGTCTGAAATGGTAACTCACGAACCGTTGAGCGAACAGCAAAACAACACCATGAGATCCCAATCAATTGAGAAAGGCAAAGGTCCTTCAGTAGCTCTATAATCGCGCTTAATTCGGCTCCACAACACTTGCCACTTTAAACTTTACAACATTAATCATAAAAATGAGAAGAGGTTTATTATTCCTGTTTCAAAGCGGTGTAGTGGAATTTCCGGTAGATGTGAGAATTCTGTGGAATTAGGCACTTCCTGCTGCAAGAAATGCCTAACTCCACAGAATGTGAGGAAAAACGACTACTCATGGGGTAGTTACACCATAAGTTGCAATGCAAACTGTTTCTGGTGCAATGTCGGAAGTGACGTGATGGTCATTCAGTCAACGCCGATCGTGCGCGAGAGATGTTCAGAGGAGGCACACGCGTTGACAAAAAGATCAAATACAAGAAATATTCTATCATTTAGGGCACATAACCCTGATAGGCCTCTGCATATCGCTCCCGAAATAAAGAGTAGCAGAAAGGATGAAGGATGAAGCTCTCATCCCTGATCGAGACAGTTTTGAAATCTTATGGGAAAAGATGGAATTCCACACGAAAATCTGGTGCATTCAAAATTTCTCCCTGAAAAATTTGAGTCGTGGACTTAAAGGCAAAGCTCGGGCTCAGACCCACTCAATGAGCCTTTACGGTGGCTAGAAGCGCTAAGTACGCAGGTGTAGAGCTCGCGTCACTTTCCTACTTTGAAAAGCGTTATTTAGACGCTATGCGCTAAGAACTTCGACACGCTTCACCTGTTGCGCACGCTCCGCCCACCGCTCGATATCTTGTCTGTATCCCTAACTTGATCTACTATGCTCTCTCAACTCGTTATCTCTCTGCCGGCCTTTTGAACTTCTCCGCAGCGTAGAGCACAAGGCTCGTGATTCCCATGTATTTCAGGATTTTTTTCTTTTTTCTCCACTGGCAGTCCACTTCCTTTCCCTACTTTCACATTTGAGTGGGATTACCTCATAATTTATTTTTGAATCTTGCCTCTAAAGCGACGGAGAGGTCGTGTTGCTTCTTCACGAATTTGCTGAGACCAGTCAGATAAATATGGTGAATCTGAACTATGTATTATGGATTCGATCCAGGGCAGGATTTGAATATGCAGGTAAACGGAGTGACTTGTTACCACGGCCGCGGTTGAGTCCTGAGGCGAATGAGAAGGCGCTCTCTAAGGACCTCTATGAGCTACAACTATTCATCAAGACCTCCAGCAGATGAAAGATTTGATGGTCTTCACGAGTCAACGACACAGCGCCCACTTGCCCAAGTAGCTTGTATTTAGAGTATCTATTCGATCAAGTCACAATAGAAGGCGAAAAATTCAGGTGTTCGAAGGAATATGAGTGTTCAAAAGACCAACCTAACTTGTTTCGATTTCCTCGAACACTCGTCGATAATGTTTTCTTCCTCTAAAGAGCCTTCATTTACGGTGAAGAATGATCTGCTGAAATGTTGGTATTCCATTTAAATGATCGTCGTGGTTACGGGAAATCTTCCACTCGAAGTAAGAACCCTAAATTTTTTTAACGACGGTTTGAGTACTCTGGATCAGTTTCGGTCCTATCGTTGCTACTTTTCAAAAAGTTTTCACGACCCCTCATGAAATGTTTCACTACGACCCCCTCTTCCAAAACAATTAAACGGCAAATTTTCTCCCGCGCCGCTCCCCACTCATCACATGCCACTTCTTACAACCGAAGCAAGTACGACCCCCCCCCCCGTTGCTACTTGTAGCAACATAGGGTTGACCCTGCTCTGGAGGTGTGAATAATACACTGGCTGAAGAGAAATCGTGCCAACGAGTTCATGATTAGCGCGACCAGCCTTCTGTGCCAACAGCGCAATCACGGCGAAACTTGACACTTTCACTTTGAACTGCAGTCCAAACGAGCTTCTCTTAAGTTCCACTTCACACAGCTCAAATCGGTTAGCATCGAGCCAAACGACGATGATTAACAGGCGGCCGAATGTTTTTCTCTAAGCAATGCGCACTTTCTAACGACTTTCAAGATCACTGCTCTGATGAAAAACTGAAGGCAGTTAAACGATTCTCCCTATCATTGAGCGATGGCATGTGGAACCATACGTCGTCTCGTTTAAGGGGTCGTTTCCAATTTCATTGTAGCAGCATACGGGTATAAATAACGTGCACGAACCTTTTGAGTTCACTTCCGTTTACATAACGATTCGATCAGTTGACTAACTCCATGAATCATCTTGTTGAATGGTNTTAATCAAGGTTACCAGTAATAACATTCTATACCTTTTCGAAGTACTAGTTTCGTTTTTATTAGTTTACTCACTCAAAGTAAACGTCATAAATGACTGCGGAGCCATCTTCTTCATTTACCAGCTTTATTGTCGCTATCAATTTCATTGCCACAAGTTCGCACTCCTAAAAATATGCCGAATCGTAAAAGCTGTAGTTTAGGATGTCCGTATCGTATGTGATAGCTACCAGTGGCACCGCTTTTGTTATCACTGCTTCGCTCATAGCTATGGCCGTTATTATCAACGACCTTAATCAACTTCATAATGATATTCATGGCGAAATGAAGGAGTTCAGAGTAAGTGAGGAAGTTTGCACTATGAATAACTCCTTTCTTAGTTCAATGCTTATGTCTTGAAGGCAAGATTCAGATGTGTCACTCAAATGGGTGAAGTAATTCTACTCAAATGTGACGTAGGGGTGGGAGGTGGACCGCCAGTGGAGGAAAAAGGAAAAAAATCATGAAATACACAGAAAATACGAGCCTTTTGCTCTACGTTGCGGAGAAGTTCAGAAGGTCGACAGGGAGATGGGAGATAATGTGAGCGGGGAGAGCGGTAGAGAGATCTGAGAAGAGAGAGCATAGCAGATCAATATTGCGACGCAGACAAGATATCGAGCGGTGGGCGGAGCGTGTCGCAACAGGGCGGAGCGCGTCAAAGTCCTTGGCCCCTAGCACCTTAGTGACGCATTTCGATGCGGGATTTAGATATAGTAGCCTGCAGTTGCGTCCCATCCACTTCTAGCCACTTTAAGGGCTTATTAGGTGGGTATGAGCCCGAACTTTGCCTTTAACTTTGCCTGAATTCACATTCTGCGATCACTTCCATTATATACGGACCACGTGAATCTGGTCTGCCTGGCTTCCGCAGATCTAGTGACACATTCAAGGCGCAAGGGGCTTTTGCCTTTATCCATGCACAACCCAGACGTCCTGCACGCCCACTGCGGGCACATTGCTCCCTGCATCTCGCTCGTTTTTCACTTTCGTCTCGGCGCCTCGTGCCTCTCAATCTGGCTATCTCGCAAACTCATCGGCCATCTAGAATTGAAGCTCCTCAATTTTATTATTTTTGAAGAATTCTTTCCCTTTTAACTCATCAGGATAGGAAACATTAGGACCCGCCATTGACACACGGCGTTTAAATTGCGCCAGCGATATAGGAAAGGGCACGTTATCGAACAACTCCAAGTATTCATGATCGGTCCCCACATTTTCATGATGTATCTAAGTAAAACTGAACCTTCTAAACCTTCTCACAAGCTCTGAAATGCTTTTATGTAGTATCAAAATCGTAGCGCTCGATACAACATTGGTGGTCTTCAGGTGGGCGTTTTTTTCCTGTTAAATTGGAAAGACCTGATTCTGGTTCCGTCAATGCAGACTATCGATCAGCTATTACGAGCAGCTCATTTAAGAAGTCGTCCAGCAGAAGACGGGTTGGACGGGCCTGATTTTGAATGACGAGTTTAGCAACGATGTCTGGTCTGAGGAGGTCATTCCGCCGTGAAGGAGGAGGGCAAGATCCACTAGAATTAATGATGCCACCATCGGATGTCCCAACAAGAATTCACTGATCATGGAGTTGGGCAAGGCAGTGTACTGGCATGTGGCGCCGCTTCTCAGAACGGTTCGCAGATTAGATTGTGGATCTTATTTCACTTTGGCTTTTGCCTTTGAGGATGGTGAAATATTATGTAAGTCTCACAAAATCTCCTATACTGCACACATAACACTCAGCTACTCACAGCCTAAAGTCGGGTTCAATAGGAGATTATGGCGATTGAAACTGCGTATAGAGATGTGAGTAAGAACGACCATGGAGAAACACACTGAAAAAACGCGCAAGTGTGTTACTAAAACTCTTTCCCATAGCATGAAGGAGGCGCCAACGTTGTTACAAAATCCTCTTTCCCACACAAATAGCAGTGAGAACAAGGAGGCTAGCTGGAAAAGAGGCACCGTACTAAAAGTTTTCTGCCGATATTCAGCTTCTATTCGGGTGAATAATCGGCAATCACCTAGCTGAACCTTCACCTGACGTTAGCCAGCCATCGTTCTTCCACTGCGGAGGTGGGCGTCGCCGGATTGTAAACCCGACGGCCCGAGGCGTAATCGACGTTTTTCAAGCGAGGAGTTGCGCAATTTGGCAGCTACTCCCCGTACAACTTAGCGGGCACGGATTACTCCTCTAGCGAAGCTGAGCACCGCCTTGCCTTTAGAGCACTTGTGTAGGCAAAAGCGCATTTTTCGGTAAAGTCACGAGTTTGAATTAGTGCCAAGAATACTCCCTCTACGATGAGAGAGACGATCCACCACGGCAAGGAGGCGCGAGCTGTTGCGACTCATCACTTTGTAATGGCAACGTGCCTAAATCATGCCAATAAAGGAATATCCACGGAAGAAGCTCCGCCTCCATTACCACAGAAAAACGATACCTTAGGCCCCTAGCCTCATGGGCATAGCAGAAGAATGGAACATAAGCGTTAGTTTCGATAATACTAATCCTACACACAAGACAAAATGATCACTCTTTCCGTGGAAGATTCCTTTAAGGTATCGTTTTCTGTGGTAATGAGGGCGGAGCTTTTTCCGTGGAAGATTCCCTCAAGTGCGGCTGTGGTGCCGTCCCTATCTGTCGTGGCACACGTGACGCCTGCGCTCTCTCGTGTACGCCGTATTGTCTTGCAGCTTTCCTCTTTTGCTTTTTCTACCCACTGGCGTTCCTCGTAGTGCTTCTTGTGAAATTTTTTGCAACACACAACACAAACAACACATCATCTTGTGCTTTTACTCATGTGGAACTTTATGTTTTGACATTTACCATCACATTAGTTACAAGCTACAAGAAACCCGTCGAGTTATTACGATTGAATTTCATCATTTCAGGGCAAAACGGACGGTGCTTGGCAACTTATAATGACAGCATACAACGATGACACGATCAAAGCTCTTCCACACGCTCCTCAATCACCGGTTTCTAGGAGCAAGCGCAGCACCGAAACCAGTAGGAGCAACAACAGCCATAATAGTGAATGCAACTGTGGGCCGACATCGAACACATGTCCACCTGGACCAGATGGCCCACCTGGACCACCGGGTTTGCCAGGAAGCCCTGGTGAGGACGGTTCACCAGGTGAGCCCGGTATTCCTGGAATGACACTTCTCCTCATGAATTTTGAGCTCAACGGTTGTATTAAATGTCCAGCTGGGCCAAACGGCGATCAAGGGCCACCAGGAGAGGCGGGGCCGACTGGTCCACCCGGACCGCCTGGGATGCCTGGCATGATGGGTAGTCAGGGACCGGTTGGTGACGCAGGTCCTCCAGGTATTGCAGGAGTGGATGGAGTTCAAGGAATGCCAGGCACTCCTGGTATGCCCGGTGATCATGGCACACGATATACAGAGGGTATGGAGGGTATGCCTGGATTCCCAGGACCACAAGGTCCAGATGGACCACCTGGAAAGGACGGAGAGAACGGGAAAGAGGGTGAACGTGGCCTACCGGGACCACCTGGTATACCAGGTATGAGTGGTATACCTGGCATGGACGGACAACACGGCATTGTTGGCATGGACGGCCGACCAGGACCAGACGCCATGTACTGCCCTTGTCCTTCGAGGAGTTTGCCTTTCTCTTTTGACAAGTAACTCCTCCGCTGTTCCATTTACTACTGTTTAGCTTACAGTAATTTTTGCTTTAAGTTTTCCGTTCCATTTTTTTTCTCATATTTTTTCTTCCGTATTGGGGAAGTGTGTACAAACTGAGTGATCTGGCAAAATGCCTGGAAGACACGATTTTCTCAGAAGCTAATAAAAGTTATATGGTGTTTCTTTTACACAGTATGGTGAAAGGCCATTTTTCAACCACAACGAATCGCGTAGTTTCAAAACGATTTCATGTCCCTTTTTTCCTAGCTATTTGGGATCTTCGGCTTGGCCTATACAAACCCAATGCTCGCCGCTAGCTGCATAGTAGGGTGAAACGCCGGTAAGACGTTGTGCGACTAATTGCTGCATACATATGGTGCATCACGTTTACATACATTTTTCACACTGATCTGTGTTCAAAGTCACTCTAAGTTTGAAGAACTCAAGAGAAGGTGTATATGCGAGTGAAATTAGGTCTAGAAAATTCGTAATTCGTAATTCATGGCCAACAAGTGGTAAAGCGTTCTCGATGCTCCACCCAATGAGTGGATATGGGCAATACAATCAGTAGTTCTTTAACAAGGGGACGATACCGGGTCGAAATGGCCATGTGTAATGAGACGCTGTGTTTTTGGACGATGATCTCGATCTGCCCTTCAAACCTGTGGAACGATTCTCTGAGCGTAGTTATGAAGCGAGATAGTGCAGAGGCAGCGGCCCTGGCCGACTAGCAAGATGTGTCGAGGTCGACTTCTCGACAAGTTCCGACTTTTGCTTTTCGTGAGGAGATTACAAAGGAGGCTCACCATGCTAAGTCGGCGGAGCTTGCCTATTTTGCAAGTGTGAAGAGTGAGTGAGTATCTCCAAGCAAGTGTGCACGCCTTTTCGAATGATAACCCCTGGTGCTCGTAGAGCACGCTCCAGGTACGTGCGAAACACAGATATTTGTGTTCAGCGAGTTCATACTTCTTTCGACAACTTTTGATCGAAATCTAAAATTTTGACCTAATGTCGAAAATCTGGGCAGTCATATCCATCAACTCACTGCCGGAATATGATCATGGAAAGGATCTAATTTTTCCAATCATAATTGTGGAAGGGAATACACTTGTCTTTCTCCATTGCTTGCGCTATCCGAAGGTTCACATGGTAATTTTTGACCGTGGCAGAGCAGCGATAGGGTAGTGGATAGGAACAACATCAACGATTGATTGTCGGCCCCCTTTTTGAAACCTTGGGTTCTAGCCACAGTTTACTAAGAGTTGACCTTCAGAGACAGTTTGAGTCGCTAAGCAGGCACATCACACCTATACAGGGTAGGGCAAAACTACTGGTGCACCAATATTTAGTTCGCATTTCGGTACTAACTTTCAGCAAACATTTGCACCCATAAACTTTATTTGTGAAAAAGATGGCAATAAAAAGCATATAAGCTGCTTTTAAATGATCCCTCTAGCATTCGCAAATTTCTTAAAACCGATGGCAAGCGCATCGCATGCGGCACGCAGGTATTCTTCATTAGTTCGTCCTAGGATTACGGAATCGCCGTAGCGATGGAATTCAAATTTGCGCATATGATAGAGCAGACTTTTCCCTTCAAGGCAACTCACACATGAAGTTATATCGGTGTCCGGAGAGCTGCAGAGTCTTTCATTGAAAGTGATAAAGTCGGGGATCCGTTCGGGTCACGTTCCTGAACACATCTCAGTCTGTGTCCTGGAGCAAAGCCTTTTCAGAATCCACCCGTAACTCCTTTTAAAGTGAAGACACGCTCATGGTTTTGATCGAGTTTGAACGCAGTTTGAACTTTCCTTGAAAATTTGAAAAATCAATGAAACGGGTTGCGTAGCACTCCGTTGGAATTTGATGGTTGCAATTACCAAGAGGAAAGCCGAATCACTTACCATTAATTAAGGTGGTACTAATAGCAGTATGTTCATGCAACGTGTCATGAATGGAACGGGAATGTCTGCAATACAATACTAGGAAGTTCAGAACATTCACGTGCACCAGTAATTTGCCCCATACTGTGCATTAGTACAGCACCAGACACGACGTCACCTTCCCTGATGTCGATGTCAGCTCTGGTGCTGTACTACGAAACACCCTGACACTTGTAAAATGAGGTAACAAGCACTAGGATGAAAAGAGTTGATGCTTGAAGCAAACTCGAACACGTTGTAGCGTTGCACACAGTGTGAATGTACCATTGAATAGTTTTTATCCCGCAAACAAACATGATCACACAGAGCAAAAACTTTGAGCCCAGCAAGATTTGAACTATGGTCTTACCCACAGAAGCCGCAAGCACTACCCCGTAGCGGAGCCGCTGGTGCCAGACTTCATACGCCTGCCTCTCATAGTGCGCTTTCATTTGAAACAGCTTTTGTACACTGTTCAGAGTATCGATCCGTGAACTTGGGACGGATTTGAGATCAGTGTCCGAAAACACGTCTGCTTGTATATGTTTCATTGCAGATGGCTGCTTCGACCTGGTATATTTCCCTTCACTAGTGAATCTGTACTCAGATTCAGTGCAAATATGTACATAGCCATGAATCCATGACAAGGATCATTACTACTCCAGTAGCATCAATGGAATATCATTCATCGCTACAGCGTGTCTTACTCGTAACAGCACTTTCACTATTCCTTTTAGAGACTTGCAGCGCCTCGTACTCTCCACTACACGTAAATCTGTCATAGAAGCCCTACCGCAAGTTCTTCGAGATGGGTACCATGTGGAGGTAAAGGTCTGCGCTGCAGAATTTCAAAAGTTGGCCAAGGGTGCTTGCCGAAAGCGTCCGTACCGCGACAATCTTCATTTCCTTCATGACGAGCTGTGACGGGATTTCTTACCTCAGCTAGCGCATTATACTGGCCAAAATGTGCTGGATATAATGGTAGATATCATTCTGCCAATTGCCGCCCCGCCTCCCTTCCTCACGAGTCAGGCAGTCGCCAGCAGGGTCAACCCTGCGTTGCGCAAATTCTAAAATTTTTACGACTCCCTTCCTTTCCGGGGGTGTCGGTACGACCCCCCCTCATATTAACTATCATGTCTTTCACATGATTTAATGCTCATCAATGCTCATCAATTATGGCAGTCACCAACATGGAGAAGTGGTGGACCGTGGTCAATCCCCGCGCTTTGTCTCGCTCAGTGGAGTGAATCGAGGCAAATGAAGTTTTATTCATTAGGGAGAAGCAATTTCCAAATTTTTGCGTAAATCACTTCCTTACCTTATAATCTGAAAAACTAAACCTTGTAGCAATTACAATGCAATCCAAACCCCTCCATTCAGAAGCTTATATTTTCTTTCAAAAGCAGTTTCATGAAATCGGACACCAAAATTTTGAAAGTATAAATAGTTTTCTTCCTGAGGAGTATTTGAAATGTTGTGGATGTTCAATATTTCAAAGTCGTCCCATTGTTCCATTTTCTGTGCACACGCGAGTTTTTGACATTCAAACAATCATAACTTTCTTCATAATTAACTTTTTGTAAATATCTAAGGCTAATTAGAAACTAAAAGATTAGAGCTTTCGAACAAGCAACAAAAAATTTTCCAGCAACATTTCTCCAAAAATAGTCCCGTTGTTCCGTTCATGGGTGGTTTGGGGCCCGATTTTAGAGAAGGCGCGAGTTTTCGACATTCAAACGTTAATAACTTTCTTCATACTCAACATTTTGCAGATGTCTAAGGCTAGTTAGAAACTAGAGGATTAGAGCTTTCGAATAAGTGCTAAAACTTCTTGAAATAATCACTCGCTCAAGAAATAGTCCCGTTGTTCCGTCAATTCCACCTTGATTTTTCTCAAGCCTTTTTCCTGGACTGCGACTATGCAGTCTTTAAAGGCCCATAACTTCCTTTGAAATTAATGTGATGAGAGGCGGCAGAAACTGTTGGAATCCACTCGAAGAGTACTTCATAACAACTGTGAAATTCCCCCGAAATTCCTTCTTCTGCCTCAATTTTCCTACGGCGTCTCTAGAACTCAATTCAGCAAATTCGCTTTTGTTTCGCTTAGATTTTATTTGAAAGCATCAAAACTCTCTTCAGAAAGTTTTTCTGCTTACGGCCGCTGACAGAGGAGGCGTTTTTATGGAAAACGCCTGCTGGGGTATACGCCGTGCACCTATCTGTGGGCAGAAATCGCACTCCATTTGAAAGTCTTCTGTTTTCCCGAAGAAGGTGTTAGTATCCTCATCGAGTTGTATTGTGCTGTTATATAGCACTCTCGTTTCACTTTCCCCTAAAATGCTCTTAACTTTGTTCTTCTCTTGATTTCAGGAATGTTTCAAAATCGAAGACAGACCATCTTTTTGCACTACACTGTAACAAAGTTTTTGGCTATTGTCTATTGTACTCTTGATCCACGTCCGGATAGCGTCGATAAAGAATAATGGCTGATGGTGAGACTTATAGTGCTCTGCATGATTTAATGCTCCCATGGAGCTCATGTCTGTTTGACTCTCCAGCGTGAAGAGCTCCTGGAGAACACAGGGTGAAAGTGCATTCCCGGACACTGCACTTTTCAAGCCGTCTTGCAGCCCGTCCGTGAATACGACCCCCTCCCTTTTCGGTCGGCTAAATATGAACCTCTCGTTCTTCTTTGCGCAACATAGGGTTGACCCTGGTTGCTGGTGCCCGCTCGAGCAACGATCAACGGGACGACAGGTCATACAGGTGAACGTTCAAAATGCACATCTTATCCAGAGGTGTTATTATAATTTCGACTCAAAAGATGTGCCATGGAAATGAAGAACAAAGTTCACCAAATTCTGGTAGAATGAACCTTGAGAGCATGTTTGATCCTGTTTTTGGAAGAATCCTTCCCGAAAAAATCGCGATTCCGCCTCATCGATGAATCTTGCTGGCTTGCGGTCCATCGTTCACGAAAAGAACGAAGAAAACAAAAACAAGTTGATTTGTTTACGGAAACATCTCGAAAACCTGGAAGAGCTGGTGTTCTAATTAACGCTGGTCATC